TGGTTTCCAAGAAAATTTAAGCAAATGGATGTGTTCCAAGGGTTTTTTTGCGCCGCGCCTAACTCGAGGCGCTTCTTCCCCGCAGAATCCCCGACGCTCTGCAGGCGCTGGGGTGAGCCACGCCTCCTGAAACCCAGTGCTGGTTTGCTTCTCGGGTGTTCCTTGAATCAATGAACGAGTACAATCATTCTAAAAGAGCACACCCTCATACATATATATATACTTTGTATATATGTAAATAGTTATGTTATATATTGTATATAAATATGTATGTACAGATACCGTCAGCCAGAATAACAAACAAAAACTAAGTTTTGGGCGGGATAACAGAACAAATGGCGTACGGCGTACGGCCTTGGAAAGGGACCATTGTCGGGTGACGGATTTGCGGCTTGGGGATCGATGAGGACAACACGAATGAAGTTCCCCAACTCTTGCAAGGGGCTGGGATCATTGCGGCAAAGGCTTGCTTTGGGGCATGGCGTTGATGAAAGGGATTCTCAGCTTCGACCGCACCCCAAGCGTCCTTAGCACTGGAGCAACCGCAGGCTGAGCCTGAACCTCCTCCACGGCCTGCTCCTTACATTCGACATTCGATGGCTGCTTTCGAATGCTTTCGAATCAAAACCTGCAGAACAAAGGCACCGAGTTGCAGGGATACATTCACGTTAGCTTGAAGGGAGTAAGAACATGCACTCACACACCAGTCCTGCACTGGCCCTTCACTGCAACACAAATCTAGTTCTTCATAAGCAAAGCAGGGAAGTGCTAGGCGGACACCAAAGCTGCGATTGGAAGCTGGTCCGATGGTTGTGTGGCTGGGACAAAAGCGCCCGAACTTTGGTAGGTCCAAGGTGTGGTATTTGGGTCTTCGGCCAAGTTGGGCGGTGAGTAAACCACACGAAAGAAGCCTCGCTAGGCAGTTGCTGGTGAGGTGTAACCCGGGTGAGCAACCTACTCTGGCCGAACATCCAAGGGAACCGACTGGGACCTTGCCAGGCTCCATGTTGCCAGCGCGCGCGGCGGGTCAAAACGCCCCACAAGAGGCGCGTTTTTCCAGAAGAGAGGCCGCGACATGTCAAGCCAAGGGGTAGGAGCGCAACCCTCATTTTGGGGTCATATCTGGCGAATATCAGGTTCCAAACTTGGTCCTAGTTTGGACTGCTAAACTTCCATTTGCTTTAAGCCCCCTGGAACAAATACAAACTATTTCCAGTAGTGATAGATCCCCTTTGAAACCAACAGGGGAAAATCTAAAACAATATTCTTAAGCAAATGGAAGTAAAGCCTATCCAGCGGATGCTGTCGAGACAAGCTGAACCTGTTGAACTGGGAGTGCTCAGAAAGCATTGGCAGTTGTCTACCCGTGTCGTGAGGTTCGAGTAACCCCGGGCCCTCGATTCTCCCTATCGGCTCAGAACATCCCGGCCTTGCCCAAAGAGTTTCGTGTAAGCGTACCCGCTGCTTTCTGAAATTATTTACAGGCGGCCCAACATAAATCAAGGGTCCACAAATCGGAGCTCGTGCACATTCACTGGGTTTCTTGGAGGCAAGCCCGAAAAGGCTTGGGTTGAGTCCGTCCCCTCAAGGGAAAATTGCACCCATGGAATTCCATGGGCACCCCCCCCCCCCGATTCCCATTTTTAAGGGGGGATCTCCCCCTTGGTCTCTTGAGAATTTCGCAGTCCAGTGGCTCGGTAGGACTGGCCCGCGCAGCAGGCCAACCTGAGTTGCGAGGGCATCGGTCTATTCGACGACCAACAGCTCCGCAGAACCTCAAGGGGTGCTTTGGGCAAATGGATGGATTAGGCATCCTGCTTCTGTACACATTCAGAACAATAGGCAACACAAGCGGGAAAAAAAACAAACAAACAGCGAAAGCACTAGAAGGCACCGGTAGATGAGAGCCCAACTTAACCGGAACCAGTAGGACATGTTCAACCAAACTGACCGATTTGTAGCACAATGCAAAGGGCATATATTTGTTTGTCACCAACTTCAGGGCGAGCCAATGCCAGGTTGCAGGTCTCTTCGGCTTCAACATTCAAACCCCAAAGTCTCATTGGGAGCAAACCACGGAAATGGATCGGGACATCTCCACAAGAACGCGCACCCCAAGTGCACGAACTGGACGTGAGCAATCCCCGAAGAACATGATCCTGAATTTCAGGCGTGCGCTTGTTCCAAATGAGCCGTGAGCGGTTTAGCCAGCACCAAAGCATGGCCAGCCAGTTGCCCAGTGATCATGGTAGAGAGGGGAGGGATTTAGAGGGAACCACCAATCAAACAAACAGGACAAGGACAAGGATGACAGTGAACAACTGGAGGGCCACTGCCAAGCGAGCCCGCAACATGTGCAAACGAGCCTCTGGGAAAAACGTGGGGACCAGGGTTTCAAGGGAAAAGGCTTCAAGGGAAACAAGAACGGGGGCACGGTCCTTTCTTGGGGATTTTTTCGGGCTTGGCCGTACCTTGTGGAGCTGGTGCATTGCTCGCCCCTCAAAGAATCAAGCGTTGGGTTTGTGAATCCGGGTCCATTACGTGCCCAAATCACCCAGGGTCCCCAGCATGAGATTCCTCGAAAAGGGGGTCGCTTTTTGGGTTCCAGGTTGATCTGCAAGGGAGGCCTGACATGCAAAGCATGCACCCTGCCAAAGGGCCATGGCAGCTTCAGCTGGTCGGAGCCGGCGCGCCCTGCGCGGGCAGAAAGCTTACCCACACCCATGCTGAAGGAGGAAATTTGGGCACCGTCCTATCAAGGCAAAATCGGATGTTCCAGTCATGAGTTTTTCGCTTGTAATACCTCTACTTGGGGGAAAGACCATTGTGCAGTGAGAGTAGAAAATGCTGGCCTCAAGCCTGACAACACCCTGTTCATCAACCGATGGTTGTTGAATCCCGGGCGCCCTTTTGCTCAACTTCCTGTTGCAAACCTTTTGCCAGTACCATCGACTGCTTGTTGCCTGTGCTTGTTGTTTTTGTGCGTGGGTTCCAGTCGGGTGGCTTCAAAAACCGGAGCTGTGTGCGCAAGAGCTTTCGGCAGTTGGAGCCTTCGGCTTTTCTTCGGCCAAACTGTGCTCAAATTCCGGATTCTGCATGCGGAGATCTGAATGCACGCTGCAAAATATTGAGGGCACGGCTTGCTGATGTGAAACAAGTTGGCGAGGACGGTGTCAAACCGGTTGACGCCTCTGGGGTGAAAATCCATATGATTGTGCTAAACGGAGAGTATGGAAAGCTCGAAGAATAATCGGCTTACACGGCCAGAATGATTGGTTATTTGGGTGTGTGTTTTGTTGCCGTCGGGGTATCTGACGGGGTATGTTTCAGGGTATGTTTCGGGGATATGTTTCGCTGCCGCCGAATTTCCTGCCCTTACTGGTCTGGACACACGCAACTTGGGCAACTTGGCCCCCAGTAAACCTCCCCTCCGCAGTCACTGTACTTTAAAAACATGGAAGGTGACCCTTGGCTTCACACGCCATGTCCGAAGCCCCGACTGCAACACGCTGTCAATCAATGCCCGAAGGGGGCCGCGGACCCAAGATCAACCCCAATGAGTCGGGCTCGGCCATGTTGATTTTAGTGAACACGCCATACCTGAGAGACTCGCACCGCTCGCACCCCTCGCAGCCCTCGAACCCCTCAGATTGACTCGGCCTAGGCAGCAGCCAGGCTCCTCATGGACCGTGGCCTCGTGTGCATGGCGCAAAGGTTGGGGCCCTCACCTTGATAGAAGGCCTGACATGGGCCATGAGCTGGGGGCGCAACCAGCGCATGCCGCGTCGCTTTACAGTGGTTGCGCTTGAAGAGAGACCTCCCATCCAAAGGGCCGTCAAGTCTTCTGTCAAATTGAAGGGGCATGCACATGCCATGGCTTTTGTGGAATGTACTCGATTCACCTCGAATGCTTGGACTTGCTCCATGTAGGTACATTCTTTGCGAGGTCCCCGGACTTCAGCATTCCTCGTGTTCTTTGACATATTGAGAACAAAAGTGCGCAGCTTGAAACAGACGCCAAAAGCACATGCCCCTAACGTCTGGTTGATTGACCGAGCCCTTGTCCGAGCCAAAGCGTGCAAGAAGCCTTCACGTGAGAGCAAAGCCGAATCGAAGCCGCAAAGTGTTGCTCTGGAAGTCTCTTGAAAGACTTCCAAATGGCTCCAAACCTGTTCTAGGGGTTGGCTCCTCCTCGTTTCCTAGGCTTCAACGACTTGCTGCCAAGCTGCAAAATACCCCTGGCTTGCAGAAGGCGCCATTGACGGCTTGTTGCCGTATGCTGGCGTCCTTCTTTGCGCCACAAATGGCCAAGCTGCGGCCAACCACGCCCCTGGCCGGGACGCCGATGTTTTTGGCGTTGCGTGGCTCTGGTTGCTTTGCTTTGAAGGGCTAGCTCGGGTGCTCCTCGCTTTCTTGGGCTTGGGCGCGGCTCCTCTGACACACAAAATTTGGGCCGAGACGTGCAGGCGGACCTGCCAACGAACGTCGCCTGCAATTGCATAGCTCCGGCTTCCCGAAGCATGAATCAGGTTCGTGTCCAACCAAAACCCTGTCAAACTAAAAGGTAGACAACAATATGCCTTCCAGCAACTCTCAACAACGGTTTTTTTCCCCAAGTCCAAAATCCCAAGTACTGTCCAAACAGCAGTGCTTGGTTGTTCCCTACGTCATGGCTTGCAATTTGTCCGCACCGTTGCCACCATTTGGCAGAAGGCCTGTTGCACTGGGGGCCATGGGGAGCGGGCAGCTGCCTACTCTGCAGTATGTTGACCCAACATGAACGCCCCGGTTGATAGGGGTCGCCCCTAGAGGGAATGCTTGACTTTGGGAATCAATTCGGCTCGATGTGCGCTTGACATTAGGTGATGCCGAACGCCTTTTGTGCCAACAAGAGCATGGCTGTCCAAAAGCCAAGTTTCAGGAACCTGCTTTGAGATGTTGCTTCCTCTGCACGGCAGGAGGGACTTCAAGTCCCCCATGCCCGTCCCGGGCCGCCGGGCGAATTTCACTGGCCCCTGGCAAAGGCGAGCTACCAGGGCGACCAGGCTGCAGTTCCGCCCTGGTTTCAGCATTACCTCACAAAGCTTGTTTTTTCAGGTCCAAAGCCTTCCAAGAAAGGCCCTGATCGCTGCTTTGTCAATGGCACCGCTTGTCACTCACTTCACGTGGCAACATCTTACACCGAGTAGAACCCGGAATCAGAATCGCGTTCGAGCGACTCGAACCGACGGGGCCTCATCTGCGAAACTGACAAATGCAAAACCTCGAGATACACCAGTCGTCAGGTCGAGTTTCAGCTCGACCTGCAGGCTCAAAGCCAGAGAGGGCGAGCTCATGGCCTTCTGCTGAAGATTGACTTTTGAGCCATCACATGGGTGTGTTGCAAACCAGGACCAACATGAAGAATAAATTGAAATCAGAACTACGCTGTCAGGATTGATGTTGATGAAATTAGCTTCTGGTCTCCTCAGACATCGACCAGACAGGGCTCTGTGCATGAATCCCGCCATCATATTTCTGGGTCGGCCTTCTCGTGTGTGTGCGACCTGCACCTGTTAGCAGCTGCATGCAGCTACCTTTTTGTGTGCAGCGTGTGTTGGACACCAAGCTCATAAAAAAGAGTCTCGCATGCCAGTGCATCAATAACGTTGGACTCGCGTTCAGACTTCCGAGTGAGTTTTAGGTTCTTAGCAACGTGCAAGGTATTGGGTCTCTAGAAAGCGGTTGGCATGCGCTTTTTGTGGATTTCTGCCCCCTGTAGGCTCTCTTTTAGTAATATGTTAGCACTCTTTTAATATCCTACAGGGGTGGATCCACAAAAACCGCATCCACACCTTTTCCTAGAGGGTCGGGCGCTGAGGCAGCGGCCAGAGTAACGGTTCCAAAATTGCTGAAGAACTCTTTGACCTCAAAGCACAAGACGCAGCTTGCCGCAAACGGATCGACCCGGCGGGAAAGTCCCCGGATTGTTCCCTGTCCACTTCTCCCAGAAAGAAAATGGGGGGGGGGGGGGCGCAAATGGGAGTCAGGCCACTCCTGAAGACCACAAGCAACCTGCACCACACATGCAATCAAAAAAGGGGTGGTTGCGACAAAGCTCCACAAGCTTGAAGCTGAACCAATGCTGCCCAAGACATAGGCGTCCTTTTTGGGAAAATAGATGGCCCTGGTCTGGTAGTTGATTGAAACACCAGGTACACTAGGAATCGCCCAACCTATGTTTAAACCAAGTCAACCAAAAAGGACACCTAGCTTCGGGCAGATCCAAGATGCTTCCAGCGTCTAAGGAGGCTGCCAGCGTCCAAGGGCCGCGTTTTTGCATCAAGCGCCCTTGGCCTTTGAGGGTCCTGGGGGCCCCGCACACAACACCACTCCTTTGGAAGCGTCCAAGGTCCCCTGCATCATCCTCGCTGGCTGTCTTTTCAAGAGCTCCCACCTCGGCGAACAAGGGCCAATCAGAAACGGCACAAGCCAAATGAGAGACTATTTGATGTCTATCTATGGGATTTTGGCCCACAAGGTCGTTAGAATTGCTCGGGATCACAAACGCGGGGCCTAAGTTGAGACAAATGTTCAACGCCGACCTCTGAAAGGTCCAACTTGATCCGGGTTGTTCAAACTGAAAGGGGTAACCACCACTACGAAGGAAAGCCTGTCCCAGGAGTGCTGTGATGAGGTCTGCCCAATGCCCAGGATCCTCGCCATCGACTCGAAAACCGTGACCCCCCCCCTCCGAACGTCCGAACGTTTTATGTCAGGGATGGGGATCTATGGCAATTCTGTCGCCTGAGCCTGCGGCAAAAATTTTGTTCGAGATGGGCGCGTCTCCAGTACCTCGAGCGCAGTGGCAATCAGTTTGCTATTTCAAGGTGGGTTTGCCTCCCGGGTACAGGAGCCAACAATGTAACGGAGCCCGAAGAAGTAACCAAGGGTACACAAGCCGTGCATGTTGCACCGAGACATGAGTTGTTTATTCATGTGGGTGATCAACCTACTCAGTAGGTGGGTTGTGACCATGGTAAGGCATAGGCAGACTGCCATCACCTTCAGGCTTGGGACGCTGAAGAAACCGCATCCTTTCCAAGAACAGATGCAGTGACTCAACTAGCCTGCCACATCCTCGCTGCCGTTTTTGTGGCATCATACCCTTGCAACCTTGAATCTTTAAGTGGTTGTCAACTTCAATATTATGACATCTATTATCTATGTATCATACTTATGAAACCTTATGAAACCTTGTGAAATCTTATGAACCTTCTGCGATACCAACTATGGAATACCTTCACTCTTTCCTGCTCGGTTTCAGTGGCTGGCACTTAAGCCAGCGCTCAAGTTCGTTGGCGTTTGCCAGGTGCGGCTTCCTCCTCTCGAAGGACAACACCCCACTAAGTTGGCCATCCTGCAAAGAGGATCGTGAAACATGTGAAACTAAGGGCCCAAAGCTCGCCTGCGGAAGCATCTCCTGTGGAAGCACTTGTGGCGCTCGGCGAAAAGCGTTCGACCTTAAAGCAAACGCACTCTCGATCTTCATTCGTGCAAGAGCCGCATTCTCCAGGCTGACTTGTGGTTGACTCGAGCCCATCTAAACGCCTCCCATAAGAGGAACGAAGCCACACAGCTCGGCCACTTGCTGGTGGGCCTTCGCTTGCGTCAAAGCAAAGCTCACACTGGCCAGTTTCTACTTCGTACTCAATCCCATTGCAGCCATAGCAGCGGTCTGCGCACTGCTGCAAGCTCAAGCCCTCATCCACTGAAGTGTCCGACTTTGAGGCGCAGCTAAAGCCATCAAAAGCTTTGACCCAACACTCGCAAACCTGAGCAGTCTGTCCACAAAGGCTCGGGTCACACGTGCCAACTAAGCCTCCATCACAGGAATCAGTGTCTCCACTCATCCATGTCTGTGCACAGCCCCAGTGTGGGCAGGCACAGCACTTGTCTTGGTCAGTCATCCGCGGATGCAGCCCAACATAGCCGCAAAAGCCGTCAGGCATGTCATAGTTGTACACCTTGCCAGTGCACACTGAATTACAGGTCCCATCTCCGCACCAGCATCTGCTGCGGGCACGGCCAAGCAAAGCACTGACCGCGAGCAGCGTGCGGCACGAATGTCCCATTCTCCAGTAGGATCCGGCGCCGTGGGCAATCCTAAAGCCAAACGCTTCATTCGTGAGTTGGTCTTGGCAAGTGTTCCGACCTGGATCTGTTGCGTGGGAGCCAAGCTGAATGTGTCTGAAAGACATGCGGCTGGTCCTTGGAGACTGGAAACAACTGCTTCCCACTCGCTATGTCTACAAAACATGCCCCATTGAGGGAAGTGATTCCCAGTCGGTCATAAACAAAGAAGCGCGGCATCAACATGCTGCCATCATGAGAAGGCCGAATCAGCAACTTACTATTACTAGTCACTAGTGCAAACGCACAACGCTATGGAACAAACAAACAAACTGCCATGTACAGCATCCGATGGGGAGCTTCCACAGGCTTGAAGCCGATCAATTTGTTGCTTTACCATCATGGCAGGACACCCTTCAACCATGTCCCGGGGCGCCGTATCCGCCCTTGTTGACGAGGTCCACAAAGTCCGAGAGATACTTCTCATCGTGGCCTACTCGCGATCGGAGAAAAACAAGCACCATAGGCATGGCCAGCGATCCCCTTCAGAGTCTTCACAGTCCTGTTAAGCGACCGGCGGTCATGACCCAAGGCGCCCGCAAAACAACCCGAAAATGGCCCCGCATTCCACGGTTTCGATTCCTGTGTCCGACCCCCCCCTTTGGAACCCCCCGTGTCGAGCCCTGCACCACGCTTACAAATGGCCAGCAGGGTCGCGTGTAGAAAAACAAATGCCTGAATGCTCAACCACATTGACTGGAAAACGGCGCTTATGGCGTCTGATTGCCAGTGAGATTCGATTTAGCCATCTTGGCGCCTGAGGCGTACAAGGACCATGCCGCGGTTAAGCTATGGAAAGCGTCCACGACCATGGACCAGTCCTATCACTGAGCGGCCTGAGTCATAAGGGATTCCAGCAACAAATGCAATCCAACACAGCTGATCCATTCCCTTCTGGCTTTCTCTCTGGGAGTTTGATCATTGGTTAGATAGCAATCTGAATCCAAAAAGAGGAGCTCGGTGGACTGAACGTCCTTCCAGTAGATCAGCGTCAAACAACAACAGGTCTCTCCTCCATGTTTTGGGTCATGTTTTAGTGAACCCAAGTGGACCCCCACAATGGCGGGATTTCCTCCGGCTTCCCTTTGCAAACCGCCAAAAACAGGGGTAGCCTCAAAAAGCGACCAGCCGCTGTGACGTCTTTTCTCGCCATGCACCGGGGTTGAGCGTCGGAAATCTGAGCTCTCGGGCGGGCAGGGTCATAGTTGGTGTTTCCTGCGGCTTCGCTTGTGCGTATCGGGGCAACTTCACCCCGGGTGTGGCGGTGGCCTTTTTGTAAAATTGGGATTCTATGAAGGGGACTTGGCAGCGTGGCAACTCACTGACTCTAGCTCATTGAAAAATAAAAATGTAATTCACCCTGCTTGGTGGGCAACACTGTGTTTTTCTTGTCCAAATGCACTTCGCTCATGTTCTCGGGGCGCTGGTTGGCTTCTTTTTCGGGAAGGCGGTGTTCGGCTCAGCGAATTAAAGGTCCAACTGATGCTCTTTGCAAGTCCTTCTTTGACCGCTGTGAAGCAACTTCCAATGCTATCACACCAGCGCCAGCTGCCAACAACAAGTATACATTGAGCTCATGGATTCGCCCGGAGCCGGGCGACTCGGGCGACTCGGCGGCTCCAGCTATCTCCGAAACCGGAACCCGCCTGACCCCACCGCACAAGTTACCGATTCACATGACATGCACCCTTGAAATCGGCCAAACGCTGGTACACAATCGATTCCCCCTAACCATATATATATATATATATTGGGGCCCGAATATCAACATATTTAATAAGCATTGGCTCAGTGGAATATCAAAATACTCAATAAGCATCGGCTCAGTGGCAAACGATAGTAGCAGGGTCATTCGGGGTCGACCGGAATTCCTCTTCAGTGCTCATCCAAATGGGCTCCCTCCCCCCTTTCCAACATTCGAACACTGCAAAATCGCCATTTCCGAGACACTAATTTTGCAAAACCGTTCAAGGTGGTTTTATTGTTTTGGCGGTACCAAAGTACAAGCCACACAATAAATTTGGACTTACAATTGAGGGCTCACGTTAAAAAAATAAGAAGAAACAACAAGCAAAGGAAATTATTGGTTTAGAAAGTAGTATTGGTGATTCGGGGGTCTAGGAAAAACGGCATATCCGCATTTATGCATACGGGGAGTCATTACTGGGGACATGGAGTGCCTGCGAAACAACATAGCTTGCCAAGAAATTTCAGCCACGGCTCTTCTTGACATGCTTTACGCGCGACTTGGCACAAGAACTGAGCGCCCCGGCCGTGGCGGGAGCAGAAGTCGTACCACCTCGGCGATGGAGGTATCGTGAGGGAAACAAAGGAAGGGGTCAAAGAAGGGGTGAAGGAGGGCTTCAGGTGCGTCACAAAACTGGGTCCATGACGCCTTTATTTTGGGTAATGACCCCACTTTTAAAGGGTCATGGAGACTCCAGGAAAATATGAGTAAATAAGCAGTTGTTCAGGGCTGCCGTTGGAGTTGCACGCACTGCGACACCTGTCACAATGACTTCACTAGGTGGACCGCGGCTCCAAGGCCCGCAGCACCGCAAGAAACCGAGACTACTGCCTGATCTCTCCTCAATCTGCACCCGCGGAATACAAGTTGACAAGCTATCAGAGTTCGTTGGGATAACTTCCATTTGCTTGACCCCAAGTCATGGAGAAAACAAATCCAGTGCCAGATGCCTTCAACCCCAACCGGGCAAAGTAACACAGCACATGGAGCATAGAACGCCCGGAGAAAAGAAGTCGTTTTCGAGACCTTGCTCCGCATTCGAAGCAGAGCTGGCCGTAGGCCAGCTGTCCCCAGAGCAAAACAAAGGCGGCAAAGAAAGATGAGGGGTCTGAGGGACTTTGGGGACTTGAGGGATTTCGTGATCGGTTTTTGAGGCTGGCTCAGCCTTAGATGAGGTATTTCTTAAGGGATCTGCAGACTTGTTTAAAGGCCCAATGTCCCATGCGTTCAGGCCATTTTGATCTTTGGTGTCTGGCCTCCGGGGGGTTTTTGAAGCGCGATGTGCCCCGGGCCCGATTTCGGAGATCAAGCGGTTTCACGGCCCTCCGCGAAGCCTTCGATGGCTTGAAGGGGTTGGTCAAAAGGTCTGTGATACATGGGGGAACCCATGTAACAAAATCTCTGCCCAAAGGACATGGAACCAAACGGTGAACACCTTTGGGGCCATGACTAAATATGGACAAAAATGGGAAGGTCAAAAGGTCGGCTTTCACAACTGAGAAATGATACTTCAACCACTAAATGGGACTAGTTACCTATGGCCATTTGAGGGCCGGGAATATTGATCAACCCTCATATGCTAAGTAACCCCCGCACAAAGTCATGAACAGTAAGGCAGGCGTACCCCGCGCAACTGCTTTTCAAGGTGGTGATCATATATTTGCTCAAGAACGCTGGAAACAAATATTCCGATCATCAGTGATACATTCCCTTTAAAACCAACAAGGGAACGTGAAACATCTTCTGAGGTATGTCCCCTTTAACTCGGTTCTTGACTTACTGGCAACCGCCATCAGCTCCCTCGCACCACGCCTTTTCGCCGCGGATCTGTGAACGCCAAGCGGAGCCTTTCCTAGTTGCTCTCTACCAAAGTCAAGCCACTTGTCCAAACCATGTTTCAACACCTGCCAAACAAACATGAGACATATCCTGACACTTCTTGCTGGAAGGAAAGTCCTTCCAAAGCGCCAAGCAGGTGCTGGCGCCACCGAATTGTGATTCTTGGTGATTCGCTGGGTGCCTTTGTGCCGCTACCTGTGCCGAAGGGCGAACTGAGCAAACCAGGCAGGTTCACAAATCTGATTTTGTCTTTTGGTAGGCCCGGTGCGAGCTTTTTTGGGGTTTTGACAGGAAACCAGGCTTTTAGCTATTTGGAGACAAGCCCCAACCTGAGCTGCAAAAAACATCCAAGGCAATTATCCATGCTTCAGGCTGGAAGGATCCCAGTGCGGCCATCTATTTTTTGGGGCACGCCATGCCGCTTTTTGACATAGGTGTCCTTTTTCGGGAAAATAGATGCCCCCTGGCTGGTACATAAGGGAAACAACCTGCTACACTGGGGCCATGTATGTTCTACGCTTCTTGAGAACTTGGAAAGCAGTCAGTCAATGGCACTTGTCCACCAAATACGCCTCAACGTTCCTCTGGACTGACTCGTACTGGCTCACGGACAGAATCGCCCCATTTACTTGCATCCAGCTAAGCTTGGACCAACATTGGAGGCCAAAGGGTCAAATCCCAACGATTCGTTTGGGGCAAGTGAGTAAATCAAGGATTTATAATGTACCACAATTAGTTGATACTGATTTGCAGCAAACCTCTCGTCCTGGTGGTTGAACACGCGCTCCCTCTCCCCCAAACAGTTCGAAGAACCGACGCGTTTCAACAGCAAGCCGTCACCGCCACGCCTCATGAGCTGCATGAGACTCATATTCTTGTCCGAGTCTTTCCTGCGACGAGACTCGCGCGAAGAAAGTTCGGGGCACCCTCCCAGCGCGCGTAGAGCCCCAGCGAATCGATCGAGCCCTGAAGGCCTTCCACGTTGCCAACCGCTAGATCTCTCGTGAAGCCCAAAAGCTGAACTTCTTGCCTTTTTGTCGTCTGGGCTCCCGGCTCCCCACTCAAATGGCCCCCAAACCGAAATGGTGCCCTTCTACGAGGGACCCTAGCAGCAATCATGCTCAGGAATTCCAAGGTTGCTGCGTTTCATGGTGCAAGGTGCAAAGCAAGTGTTGCAAAAGCACATCGGCGCTCGGGTCATGGTTGTCGTCGGAAAAAGCTCGGAACCGTTCCGATATCTATCCTCCGGACTCGCGCGCCAGAGGGACCAACATAGGAAATCTACAAGGTCAAAGGTTGCTTGCTTTAGACAATTGGTTGTGTTGTGTCGTAGGGGACCCGGTTTCCCTGTTGGCTTCCCTTTGAAACCACAAAAAGGGGTATCCTCAAAAAGGACAGACCCAACTAAGCTTGGTGTGAGCTTTCGGCCAAGCATCTTCATGACCTTGGAGACCGCCATTTCGAAGTCTTCTTGGGTCACGTGCTGCCGGCGCTCGCGCAGCGCAAACATGCCGGCCTGGCGAGTCCGAGTTGGGTGCAAGCGGTGCGGGCGGGCGGCCAGGCAAACAAAACAAACAGCCAACCAACCAAACAAGCAAGCAAACAAACAAACAAACAATAACGGGCTGGTGGCGGCGGGCGGATGTTGCTCATCCTCAAAATACCGCACCTCCAATCCCCTGCCCTGCCGAAGGTCCCTAAGTCCCCCCGTGCGTCCCTCGGATCCGAGGCGCCTCGGTGCACACAGCCTTGCTCTCCGCCCCGCTGGCGCCGTTCATGTGCGTCGCAATCTTCTTGAGGTCGATGCCGCGCCTCGAATCGAAGCGAGAGTCGGGAGCCGGGAGCCACCTGGCAAGTGGGATCTATATGGAGGGGCGGGGAGGGAGGGGGGGAGCTTAGGATCTCACAAGGGGCCAAGTGCGCGTCCTGTTCATCTCTGATCCCAAGCTTGTCCCAGGCTGTTGGGGATGGAGCCTATTTCTGGCTGATCCCTGAAAGCCCGCGGGTTGCGGTTTGCTTCTTCACCTTGCTGTGACCTGTTTGATCGTATTGAGGACAACAAAAACCAAAGAAACAGCCTAGCACAACCTAAGGTGGCTCCAGCATCTAAAAACATGCAAGTTTGAAATGGAGAAGCTGCATCGATGAAAGGTCTAAATACCGGTATGCATGTCCAAATACTGCAATACAGGAGGCTTCACACAAACTTGACGCACCCAACACGGCCGGCAATTTGAGATGCCGAAGCCAAGCCTTGCGTTCACCTGCCACTGCGCCATGACTGTGGCTTGTGCAAGTCCTTCTAGGCTTTCGTGTGTTTTAAGTGGGATTATGTGATTTTGGAGACGTTGGCATGCCTTTCCATTCTGATCCAAACTGGGACACTAGAGAACTCTCATTCGCCGTGGGCCTTTCCAGAAAGGTCCCCAACACTTAAACAAACACGTCAAAAACACAACAAAACATGGTTGTATTCTCATGGGGCCCCCGGAGACGACAACAAGTAAATCTAAGGCTAAGCTACAAAAATGTTCCCACTGATGTGGGCTTCTTTGCTGGTGCGATAGGTAGGGAACGAGGGAATGAACCCAGGCTTTGGTTCTCTTCTGAATTTCCTGGAAACTGCCAGCAAGGGATGGCCTATAATTCCTACCTATCGCGCCAGCAAAGAAACAAACATCAGTGGGGAACATTTTTGTAGCTTGGCCTTGGACTTGCTTGTTGTTCTTTTCTTTTTCTCTGGTGGATTCCAACCACATGGGTTCGAGACATGAAACCTGGCAGGTCGACACATATGGGCCACTGGGATGTAAAGGATGCGGGGCATGACCCTTTCCAAAGAACGGAGAAGTATGCGTAAAATACACATGTATATATAACATGTAAGCATACAAATGTGAGGTACATATAAGTAGAATAGGTATTAATTTCCATTTTATATATATATATGTATATACTGGGCTGCCCTCAGATCCCCCGGTAAAAGGTTTGACTTTTAGTGGGTTAAATAAATGGAAACTACCACTAAACACTAAAAGGCTAAAAAGCTAAGGGGATGGCTGGGAGCCACCAAGTATATATGACGAATATACAAGAAATGGCCTTGCCCGAGGCACATGAGGTTCATCTTCCGCGAGTGGATCTTCAGAATCTCACCACCTCAGGCCGAGGGTTCAGGGTCCACTCGGCACCAGTCCTGGTTTGGCTCATCTTCCAGGGGCCTTCGGGTGGGTAGCACCAACTTTCAGGCATCGCTACACTCAGGTAACTAGGTCCTCCAGTAGAGAGGTAGGAATAAGGGTACCCTTCTTCTTGTAGTCTATTTTAGTAGAACCCTCTCCCAAAAAAGAAACGGTAAAAGGGCACTACTGGGGGACCTAGGTATCGCTTGCATGGAGAGAAAATTGAGTTCAACTCAACCTACGGACATTTTCGACTAGGAGCCTTCTAGGGCCAGGAGTTGGCTCGTTCTGACACCCAGGGCCCTCTGAGATCCCTTTTCAGGAGCTTTTCTGGCAGGGTCGAAGCCCAGGCTGCGATCTTACTGCGAAGCCTCGCCCTAAAGCAAGCCCTGCCTGGTGGCCATGACAAGAAGTACAAGACCCCTTGTTGACAGCGCAGATTCGGCGGATTCCAGGTGGAATTCACAACTCCCAGCCTTGGGGGTGTTTAAAGCAGGGCTGTTGAACCTTTGAAAGCAACAGGCCGAACCT